GTTTTTTTTTTTTTTTTTTTTTTGGCAAGGCCCGTAGACATATAGAATCAATATTGTAGCTCTCAACCTTCCTTTCTGCATGGTGGAACCATTTGACAAAATTCCAGTCAGTGGTATTTGGGTGTAAGATAGCTTGGGAACCTTCTTTAGGGGTTGCATGTTTTGTTTCCTCTTTTTGCAGTTTCTCTTCTGGCTTACTAGAATGTGGAAATGAGGGCTGGAGCTGGAGCAGCCAGTTAATACCCTGAGGTTCCATTGGGAAGGGAGATCACGCAGGGCAGAACAAGACAGAAGGCACCAGGGCCCCTTCATCCACTGATGAGGCAGTAGATGCCTATTTCCCAACTTTAATGTGAGAGAGAGAGAGAGAAAAAAAAGTGTTTGAAATACTAATGTTAGAGCCAGCCAGTTGGTGTGGTGGTTAAGGTGGCTGGATCCCACATGGCTGGTTGACTGCACGGTTTGAGTCCTGGACCCAATGACTTGAAAAACACACTGGGCATGTGCACCCAAAATCTCAAAAGGAGAATAGAGGAGAAGGGACTGTGGTGTGGGCATCCCTGTACCCCAGGGGGTTCCTTCTCACTTTCCCTTTCTCTCTCTTCCTGACAAGCACAGGTACCCTATAGCAAATAAACAAACAAACAAATACATGAAGTTATTTTGAGCTTCTGTATTCCTGGCCAAACCTAGTCCTGATATAATACTTGTAATAAAGCTTTCTATACAATCTTTTAATAAAATGTTTCTCTGGAAAAACAGTATTTTATAAAATACATTTTTTAACATTTCAAAGCCCACCCACTCAGACTCGCACTCACCTACAAATGCACATCTCCCCAGGTAGTACTTACTTTTCCTGACTCCATCAGGGGCAAGCTGTGAGGAGACCCTCTTTCTACCAAACGGACTCTGCAAACAGAAACAGAAAACTGGACTGACTGTGCGTTCGGTATCCGTGCACGGCCCTGTGCCTGGCAGAGGTGCGGAAACGTTGACGCTGAGCGCCCTCTAGCCACTGGGTCAGAGCCAGAGACAGTGACTGAGAACAGAGAAATCCATGAGCATCGGCAAGCTGGCACGAGCACACCAATAAAGGCCCCAGAGCAGGGAGATGAGGCCACATGTGTCAACTCAGTGAAAGAACTAGAAACAGATTCTGCACTTGAAGTAATCAAGAATCAACTCAGCATGTGTGGAAAAGGAAAAGGATACGGATCCAACAACCTCCTGAGAGACTGCCGGGAGCCCACAACAGCGTGAGTGGCCCCGACGCACTCACACCCCGCCTGCGTGAGTGAGCACACACTGCGCCCAGGTGAGGATCTAAGCTCAGTGTGCTTGAGCCAAGTGAACAGAGGGCTGGCCGCCTCAGACAGCAAAATTCTTCAGAAAAGACACTCTTTTTCATTAAAAAAGTATTTAATGGCAATTTAATCTCAAGAACTGGTGAAGACAGGGCTGGCTCCAAGGTGCAGCACTAGCGTGCGGCTCAGGAGAAGCCAGTCCTCCGTGCTGACCACAGTTCAAAGCCCTGGCCTGGTCAGTCTGAGATACGCTGGGCCTGAGCATGAGGGCCCAAGATCCAGGGGTCCGTAGCAGCAGTCCCCAACCTCCCTGCCATCAGAGACTGGCCTTGTGGAAGACAATTCCTCCACAGATGGGGCTGGGGTGCTGGTCCTGGAATGACCCACGTACACATCTCCACCATGTCCCCTGGTTCCACCATTACCATACTGCGACACCACAAAGAAACACACGACAGGGCTCCTGCTCCCATGGGAACCCAATACCAGTGCTGATCCGAGGGGAGGCAGAGCCCCGGCAGCAATGCAAGTGATGGGGAGCAGCTGCAAACACAGACGAAGCCTGCTTGCCTGCCACCATCCGCCCCCTGCTGTGTAGTCCAGTGGACCGGCACTGGTTCATGGCCAGGCCCCTGACGGGTCACATACTGGCACTAATCTGAGGCCCTGGGGTTGGAGGAAGGGGTGGCAGTATAAGCAGGCCCCATGAAGGGCTCATCTTTCCCTCTCTGGCTTTTACTCTGACGTGCACACACACCTCATAAAAAGCTATCTCGGATAAGAGACAAAGGGGTGGAGGGTGGGGCGAATCACGTAAGACAGAGTTGCTGAACGAGCCAGAGCTAGCCGACAGTTCTTCCTAGGTGTGTCATTTTTAATACTGAGTGGTCTTTACTACTGACTTTACATCTCCGCCATGTGAACAGGAGGCTATGATGCTGCCCATTTGTCTAAAAGACAGTATTTATTCAAATACAATGAAGTGAAAGAGAAAGTGCTTTGATGCTGGAAGACTGGAGAATAGGACGGTGCTGTGTACCCAGGGCCAGAGAGGGTTGTCAGCAGGTGCACAGGGCAACGTCAGACCTTGACCGGCCTCTCCATCTCTCTACCTTTCCTCTGCAGCTGGAGAGAGACAATGTGGCAGAAGCCAAGAAACAAACAGGGTGTCAGAGTCCCGAGGGATCTGCGGCTGTGCAGGCCTGCATCCCTTGGTTGCTCGCTGAGCCTTCAGCCCCCGTGGCAGCAGAGGTGAGGCACTGCCAACCTGACCTGAGCAGGCTGGAAGGTGAGCAGGCTGGGTCCACTGGGTGCCTGACTATGGGTCCAGACACTGGCAGTCTGTCACAGATGGGAAAGTACAAGGGACAGGCTGGCTGGGAAAACTACATGAGAGCAGAGGTGGGTGACAAAAGGGAGCCTGAAGGAGGTGTATAGAGGGAAAGCATGAAAGAGGTCACACCACTTTGCCTCAGTGTCCCGGGTGGGCTGCTGTCTGGGGATGGGAGCTAGCCAGGGGCTGGACTGTGGGTTCTACAGAGGCCAGAGGATCAGGCTGAGAGCAGTATTCTCGGCCAACCTGAGGGCTGCTTGGACAAGCTGTCTCCATGTCTGCTGTCCACGTTGTGGTCACCTCTACTTTAGAATGTTAGAACCCTGGCCAGGCACGGGGTCAGATGCACCCAGCAGCCCTTGCAGCTGCATCGCTGCTGGAATGACTTGGACAGACACCCTGATGTCATATATGAAAAGTTATCTGAGATAAGAAAACAACAGGCAAATGTCCCTGGACTCTCAAGTCAGTGCCCAAGAGGCATGGCATTCACAGATTTCCCTTCTCACCTGGCCCTTTGGGCCTCTGCTTCAACCTGTGCCAGCAACTGTGTGGGCGGGAGGAAAACGAGATCAGGTGAGGCTCCCTGGCGGTACGTGCTGGCCAGCAGCATGTTCCCTGAGGAGTGTGTGCTACCTCGCCCTCTTCCTGCCTTCAGGTGTTCTCTCTCCTGTCCTTCCCCCATATTTACCCGCGGCCTCAGAAGACGGAACAGACATGAATCTCAGCTGAAAATCTTCTCTACAAAGTGGAAAACAAGGAAGACAGATGTGGGCATTTCTTCTCTGGCTGGCATGAGAAACGTGCGCTTCACACAACAGGAGGTACAGGGAGCTGTCACTCAGTGTTGGTCCTGAATGAAAAAGCTGAAGACCTTATTGGCAAGTGCCACACAAGAATTCCTTTATCTACATGCAAAACAAAACTACCCACAGAGCAAAAAGAAAACAAACAAAAAGTTATCTCTTATGTAAGGGCAAAAGACACATCTTTAAAAGGCAACGTATTTACAACACACATATCACAGGATTGATTGTCTCAATGTGCAAAGGATGTAGAAAAACAAAACAAAGCAAGGTGATCTGTCATCATTGTCAACAGATTTCTGCACGGTGACTGTGTGGGCTGAGGGCCCAGGGTCAAGCTCTGCTCAGCGCTGCCTTTCTCAAACAAAAGTGAGAATACCGACGCCTGGCCACTGCTGTGCAAACTCTGTGAGCTCTGAGCACGAAGTGCCGATATGCCACTTGCTCCTGGTCCGCGAGCGGGAAATGGACATGGCTGCTGTTAAGACGGGCTCAATTAGCAGTTAGAACAGTCTATAAAGCTAGAACTATAGCTGAGGAGGTGGGAAAGGCCTGTCTTGCAGAGCAGCTGAGAACTCTTAGAGCCAGAGTGAGGGGTAGGAAGAGGTCCCATGCAGAGGAAACACAGACCCCAAAGATGAGCTCGGCTTCCCTGTCCATGGGGTCGGTCCAGCCTTGCAGGAAGCATGGCCTGAACTACAAAGCAGGACCAAGCAGAGCCCCAAAAGGACCCTTGTTCAGAGTGATTGTGCCGAGGCTGAAGTCTAACAGAGATCGTCTTCCAGAGCAAAGCACCTGCCTCTTGGGTCAGGTGAGGAGTGTTCTTCAAATGGTCCGGGAACTGATGAAAGCGGTCTCTTCCAGAACTGGAGCTTTCTGCACTTGTCGGCAGCCTCTGGCCCATTTCTGCTGACTGGATTGACTCAGTCCCTTCCCCAGGGCTAAAGTCTATTTTAAACCATGTATAAACTTAGTCATAGCTCATCACAGCACATCAAAACTACAGTTTGACCATGGTGATGTCTACATGAAATCTCCCAGACTGGCCTCCTTCTCCTCCCTTTTCCTTTATTGACTCGGACAAATCATCTTGGATCAAAAAAACATGCTCTTCTTTTTTCTTTCTTTTTTTAATCCTAGGCTTTTAAAAATGGATTTGAAGTTGGTCTAGCAGGTAGTATGGTGCTTAAGGTATTCAACTCCCACATGGCTGACCACAATTTGAGTCCCAGACCTGGTGGCTTACTTTCTCACTTTTCCCCACTCTCTGTTCACATTAAAAAAAAAATAATAATGATCATAATAAATATAAAATTAAAGTTGATTTGAAGTCTAGGTTTCATTGGAAGAGATACAGAGTTGATATGAGGGACAGCTGCCTTAATTATAAACTCTAACTTGTGCTCTGTCTGTGGATTGCTCCCAAGGTGACTCAATTTAGCAACCTGCTTTCCTGGAAGTGATGCCCTGGAAGGCTGGAGCCCTGAGCAGCCACCAGCACAGCCCAAAGGTGCAAAGGGACTCACACTTGGGACTAAAGACCTCTCTGTGAAGTCCCCATCCTTCATCACGCTTCCCTGAATCAAATGTGTGGCCGGCAATGGGCAGGAAGGTGCTGCTTAGACACACAGGTACCCACGTTTGAGCAGAACCGCAGTCTAAGGTTCTCTCCAGTCCAGTATGACCTTGTGAAGCTACAACTGGGGTTCAGAACAGGAAGGTGAGGGGCTGTGCCTAGGCCGTGCAAAGCAGAATGAACCAACCTTTCATTTCCTAGGGCCCCTGCAGCTTGCTGACCGCCCCAGGGGATGTCATGGGATCTGTCAAACCCTGACTCTGGAGACTTAATAACAACTGAGAAACAAAATCACATTGTCTGCCCCATAGAGAAGTGTTAACACATAAGACTGCCATCCATACCAGAACTATGATTGCTTCCAAATCACCGGCGCTGATGCCATTGTGCGAGCATGGGGACCAGTGTCCCGACCTGCCCCGCCGCTGCCCAGCTGAAGAAACCAACACTTTTCATTACAAATGTAAACTACATTTCCCTCCAAAACTAATTTGGAGCATCTAAAATATCCAATATGTTAAAATCATTTGAACAAGTGTTTAAAAATCCCAAGGATGGAGGGGAAATGAAATATTCAAAAACTTAGTTAATTAATAGAGGTGCTATGATTGAACCTAATTCTCAGCTTCCTGGCAGCTAAGGCAATTGAAGAACTAGTTTTACTGTCCAAGTTTGGATTTTAACATCTTACTATTTCCTTTGCAATTAGTGAAGCACATAAGAATCATTAAAATCACAAGAAAAACGATCAGTGCTTAAATATAACTGACATCACGTTCACACATCCCGACACGCTGAACCAAGCCACAGAAAGCACCAAACGCACCATTTCTAAAGGAGGGTCCTCCCAGGAATCAGCCCTAAAAGTGCTATGGATTACAGTACGAGAA